TACTGTGGAATAATATTTTTACTGTAAAAGTACACATATTAAATATACAATATAGAGGTTTACCCTAAGTTAAAAGGTAATTCACATACTTACAAATTAAATGCATTACCCTGTTAAATGAAAATCACATTTTCACATAGTAATGAAAAAACATTTACAGGTTTTTACCGTATTTCTCCATTCTTTTTACTTTAATTACCAGGGTTTTTTTTGTTGCATTTTCTCTTGCTGCTGATGATTTGACAGTGTTCTCATATCCTAACCGTGACAGTTCTTGCTGACAGGACTGAAAACTTCCTTCTCTCCATCATACTTTGGCAGTTTTTCCAGATCTCTGATTTGGTGTTCAAAGGTTGGGCTGCTGTTCGCTGTGTCCAGGCTCTGGCACACAGTTTCTACTGCAGTGCTGGCACACTTACACTTGCTCTTGGAAGGGTGAGAGGCCTTGACCACATGGCAGATGCCAGGATGGTTGCTTGTGTTCTGGATCTGCTGATCGGCCAGTTCTTTGACTTTCAGACCGGCGACGGAGCAGCAGCCCTGAGACCCACAGTAATGCAGACTGAACAGCTTAGACAAAACCCAGTTCAACATCTGCTTGATGATGATGGCGGTCACGCTGAAAAGAGAGTAGGTGCAGCTCACACCAAGGATGATCATTAAAGAGTTGGCTATCTGGTAGACCCAACGTGCTTCATAATGGGCCTTCTGTCCGCTCACCATGTCCCCGAAACCCATTGTGCTAAAAGCCACAAAGCAGAAGTACATAGACTCTGGGTAGCTCCAATCCTCCATAGTCGAGTACAGGCCCGATGCTCCGCAGTTCACCAGAAGTGTAACTGTTGCCAAAATGAGGGTTACATAGTAAACCGAAGGTTTACAGTCCTCTTGGCCGTCTCCTTTTTCTGGTTGTGTGTTTAAATGTGGGACAATGTGTTTTTTACTCAGCTTTGTCCTTTGTTTTTGCTTTCGACATCTGCGTGTGAGGAATGTAATCAGCGTTATCATGCGTTCCAGAAAGAGGTTGAAGAATAGGATGGTGGTTGCGCAGCCTATCAGCCCATAGAAGATCAGGAAGATTTTTCCATTGAGGGTAGCGGGTGCTGCCATCCCAAAACCTGATATGGACACACAAGTGAATACATACTTTTATTTCTGCCATACTATGAGTAGAAATGCTGAGAGTAGAATGGATATATGCTGTTCCTGAATTCAATCTAAAAAGCAGAATGATAGCCTATAAACAATTAATTTTGACATAGTGGAATTACAAGAAAGTGAAATTATAGTTCTACCACAACAAAAACAAGATTTCCATCAGCCTTGAGTATCGTTCCATAATCTTGAGGTAATCTTTTGTTGCGTTATGCAAGCAAAATGACGTGTATGTACGCATTTCATTTTGTATATTGACAGACTACACTTTACATTGGACATTTTAAGATATGCTTGCGTGTATCCATGATTACAAAGCTATTATAATCTGAGCCCTGGGGATTTGAATCAGGAAATTGACTTTCTTGCTATTTTACTTCTGAAAGATAAGCTCAGAGGCTGATAAAACTAGATGTTGAAGATGGTTATCACGTGTAAACAGCCATTCTACCTTGAAGTGTGTGAACATGCTGTTTCTTCCGAAGCTAATTACTACATGGAGTCTGTAAAGTGGGAGAAATATTAGTAAGCTTCTTCAAATATAGGGACAGATGTATGGAGTAAAAAGGTTATTCAGGTTATAAATAGACTTTATGTCAATAAAGATAATTATGTTAGTGGCTAAATACCAAATTCACACAGATGTTTTAATTACAATTTTTATTAGATAGATAGATAGATAGATAGATAGATAGATAGATAGATAGATAGATAGATAGATAGATAGATAGATAGATAGATAGATAGATAGATAGATAGATAGATAGATAGATAGATAGATAGATAGATAGATAGATAGATGGATAGATGATAGATAGATAGATAGATAGATAGATAGATAGATAGATAGATAGATAGATAGATAGATAGATATACAGTCTACAGACAATTAGATAGATAGATAGATAGATAGATATACAGTCTACAGACAAATAGACAGACAGACAGACAGATAGATAGATAGATAGATAGATAGATAGATAGAAAAAGAAAGAGACAGTCTACAGACAAATACATATATAGATAGCAGAAGAAAGACAGTCTACAGACAGACAGATAGAGACAGATAGAAAAAGAAAAACAGACAGTCTACAGACAGATATAGATAGAAAGAAAAAGAAAGACAGAGTCTACTACAGACAGACAGACAGATAGATAGATAGATAGAAAGAAAAAGAAAGACAGAGTCTACTACAGACAGACAGATAGATAGATAGAAAAAGAAAGACAGACAGATAGATATAGACAGACAGACAGACAGTCAGATAGATATACAGTCTACAGACAGACAGACAGAGACATATAGACAGATAGATATAGATAGATAGAAAAAGAAAGACAAACAGTCTACAGACAAATACATATATAGATAGCAAAGAAAGACAGTCTACAGACAGACAGATAGATAGACAGATAGAAAAAGAAAGACAGACAGTCTACAGACAGATAGATAGAAAGAAAAAGAAAGACAGACAGTCTACAGATAGATAGATAGATAGATAGATAGATAGATAGATAGATAGATAGATAGATAGATAGATAGATAGATAGATAGATAGATAGATAGATAGATAGATAGACAGATAGACAGACGGACGACAGATAGACAGACAGACAGACAGATAGACAGATAGACAGATAGATAGATAGATAGATAGATAGATAGATAGATAGATAGATAGATAGATAGATAGATAGATAGATAGATAGATAGATAGATAGATAGATAGATATGGTGTCATGGTTCACTCGAGCACACATACCAATAGTGCTGACTACAGTTGCCACAAAGTAAAAAGCTCCTGAGAAATCCCACCGGGGTGTTCGTGGTTCCATTTGAATCCCGGCGGCAATGGCCCCCTCATAGTGTCCCAGGAGCTCGCGCAAGTCCTCCAGAGGAACCCGGTGATCCCGAACAAATTCAGCCAGCTGTCTGTTCCATTTGCAATGTGCCTCCAGTTCTGAAGGTCTCTCGAGGGCCGAGAAGACAGCAGCCCCAAACAAGGTGTAGAAAACAATCACAAACCATAACAGAAATATTCGGACGAAGTCTATGTTGATATGAGACCAAATGCAGCCACAGTCTGTCCTGCTCCTACCAGAATGATCTGACTGAGCCATTAATATCGAGAAATAAAATGTAAAAAGATGACAAAACCAGCAGGTCTTCAATTGCATTATACCTCCAGAGAACAATCCAAACTTCAAATTTAATGTTTATTACCTATATCAGAATATTTAGCATACCATTCTTAAAAGCTATTGATCCAAAACCAGATTTAGATTCAGAAGCTGCTGCAGAAAATGCTGTGCTGAGTAGCAAACGGTAAACATGACCATCCTTGCCATCTTCCCGCTTATGTACACTTCATATATTGTGCTTTATTGCCCTGCCTTTATTACTACCACACATGGTAGTGTCTATGGATAAAGATCTGGGCAAGAGGTTTGAGGTCTCATACTTTGCAAGAGGTTACATATGAATCTTCACCATTGTGCCAAGATTTTGGGGGATTCAGAGGGATTGTCTCTTTACATACCAAGCAACAAGTATAGTAAAACAGTCAAATATTATTACAATTTTAAATAACCTTTTTTATTTAAATATATATTAAAATGTACTGTATTTCTGTGATGGAAAAGCTGAATTTTAAGCATCATTACTCCAGTCTTCAGTGTCACATGCTCCTTCGAAAATAATCATTCTAATGTGTTGATTAAGTGCTGTTACATAGTGTGAGGTCAAAAACAAAGGAGAGTTGGATCCAAATGCAGTGAGCGTAATAATAAAATAAACATAATAACAAATCCAACACAGGGAAACGAATGAGTGCACCAAACATAACATCCAACAGGACAAGCCTTGACAAGGAGTACAAGAAACACTGGGGTTTAATACGAGGGGTGATTGGCAAACAAGACACATCTGGGAACAATCAAAGAACTAATCAACAAGAAAAACTACAGAGGACTACAAAACATGGTGCAGAACCGGAAATAACATAAAAGTCCACACAAGGCGAACACAGGCTGGGACTATGACAAGTCATGCATTTCTTATATTAATGTTGTAAACAGTTGTGCTACTTACTATTTTTGTGGAATTTTTATTTTCAGAATTCTTTGATAAATGGAAAGTTCTAAAAGTAACTTTGCAACTACATGTCAACTAGCTCTCATCATTAACTTAGTGTAGTAGACTGTTAGGGTTAGTAGAATAAGTTGACATGTAGTTGCAAAGTTACTTATTCATAGAATTTCTGTTGAGGAGCATCAAAATAAAGTGTGAGCAGATATTAAGCAGACGGTCTACTAATACTCTAATGAGAGTAAGTTGACATGTAGTTGCAAAGTTACTTGTAATTTTTAAAGTGGACCATCAAAACGAAGTGTTACCAAAATCTTTTGTAACATTATAAATGTCTTCTAGTACTGTCACTTTTGATTAATTGAACGCATTCTTGCTGTTAAAAGTATTTCTTTCTTTCACTTCATTCTTTTGGTAGTGTACATCACGTTTTGTTTACAATTTCATATCACTGATCATTTAATGTATCATTTTGAATGACACTATGTAGCTTGTAAAAACAAATGCATAATTCTGTAATTGTAATTTCAATATTTGCATTTATCCCTCCTTGCCCAGCAGTAAACAGTTTGTGTAAATCCACATTTTCGTGTAATAAAAACACTGAAGAACATTTGAACAATATGATTTTATAAGCCTTCATTTGAGTTGTTACTCTAACTCGTCCGATAGGTGGAAGCAATGGACTGAATTAGGCTAGTTTGACCGGTATTTCAGGAATTTACATTTACAGCATTTAGACGAAATCCACTAATGTCTGACTATAAGAAAAAACATGAACATTTAAGGACCGTGTGTCGGATCGACATGGTTTGGTCGTGGATAAAGGGTTAATGAAAAGTGTTTGCTTGCTGGAACAGACATCCGAAAGGCAACCTCTTGTTCACGGAAGTAGGCATGTTATTGTTTTCATGACTATCAGTTATCAGATTTTTTTCAACATTACCCTTCTACTAACCTCTTAACTCACAGAAACGACATTGTTGTTTATTGCAGGTTAGCTAGTGGATGATTGTTGTATTGGTCGTGTTGTCACGTTTGCGAGCTGCAGTCTCACACCAGCTCACGACGCACTGAGCAGCAGCATCTCCCAACTTTTAACTATTAGTAGGAAGAAAAATACCCGTATGTAGTATTACAGTCAGGTCTGCATATGTTAAACACAAAGCATTTCTGCAAGCAGCAATGTGGCCATAAATAGGATATATGCTACATTTGATTGAACATACAGTCCCTATGATTTTACATTGCTTATAACGTTTGACCGATACGTGGCGCTGTTGCAAAAAAAAAGAAAGAAAAAAAGAGATAGTGTCAGGATGTTATATCAGGAGTTCCAAAAAAAAGAAAAAAAAAAAAGAAAGAAAAAACCCTAGGTTTTCATTAAAATACAAATTTGGAAAAATTGGTAGGCTATAATTTTTTACTTTTAAATTATTATAAATGCAGACAGAGAGTGTTAAGCAAAAATAATCAAAACGTATTGCAATTTGGTTATACGTTTAGCCTCAGCACATGTTGCTAGGTTATGTGTTGATATGGTAAAATATGGCAAAATTCAAAATGTCGGACAGGCAATGTTGGTGCATTCACATTCCCTGCATCTGAATATGCTTAGTGAGATACTATATTTCAAATTCATAAAACAGTAGGTGAAAAGTAACCGGATGACCTACTATACTTCCGTGATATATTGAAGTGTGCATTTGATGGACACTTTACTATCCCATGAGACCACGGGAGAGGAGTTGTGAAAGGCAGTGAAGTGATGCAACTGATCCCATAGGTCACATGACAGTGACAACAGTCACAAATCAAGTTTCAAACCAAATGTAGTTGCTACTGTAGCGAATTAGGATGCAGCTGAAATATCACAATATAATGCACTATGTGCCATTCACCAAGTAGAACATTTTAAATATGTGAACAAGTGACTGATTTTAGTTTCAGTGTCTATTTATAATGTAGGGGGCGGGACGCTTTAGATTCTAGAGAGCATTTGATTGGACAGAAAATCTGATGAGAAGCTGAAGTGCAGAGTGATGTCATCAAAACCATTGATCCATATTGGCGGAAGTGAGAGACTAAGTATTGAATGCGTAAATGCAAATTCTGTCATTGTTTTGGAGCTCACTAGCTTATAAATAACAGTAGCCTAAGGCTAACATATTCACACTAAAAGCCAAAAAACTTCAATTTTAATTTCACGGGAACTTTAACGCGTTACGTGCAAAACTGAGTGATGCAAACGGTTGGCCTATGATGCGAATGGTGTGGCGTAAGCTTTTAAAATGCAGTCAATAATGCAAATTCGCTGCATTGACCAACAGAAAGCTGCTTCGTTTGAAAGCGACTTCTGTGACCTGTGCATCGCTACATATGCTGCGAAATTTAACCGAAATGTTGCTAATGTGACCACACCTATAGACCGTATGTAGCCCTGCTGTCTTCCTGTTTGTATTTCCACAGCGATCTAACATATTTATGAATGAACTGCCCATTTTAAAATCTTTCCGGTCTACTGACATTTGTTATGACATCTGCTTTAAACATTACAATGCTCGTGATAACTTTCGTTAAATCTACAATAAGTAAATTCACTTCACCACCTAATTACTCCTCGACAGCGATGCCATAGAAATATACAGAGCGACCGCAAAAACAGAAGTTCAAAGACAATATTCTAAAGATGGCTGCGCGCTTGTTTCTCTGGCGCATAAGGTCTTTAGCGGTCTGACCTGGTTTTAGCTGGATTAGCCTGACAAGCTAAGACCTTCCTGATCATCTAAAGAAGAGGCTAAAACCAGTCTGCTAAACCAGCTTTGACCAGGCAACTTCTCAGACTGCAACATAGTTCGGTACACGCACTATGTTGTTGTCTGGGTTTGGCTGGTTTTACCTTTTTTTTTTTTTTTTCTCAGCAGGGAAGTGTTTTAAAATCTACTCAGATTCAAAGCAAGGAATACATTTAATTCAGCAAGAAAAACATATTTCTAGACTAATTAGACAACGCTGTGCTGTTGGTGGTGCACATTTGGTGCTTGACCCCTAAAGAGCATTCACAACCATAGTGCAATCTTACACAACACACGCCGCCAAGAGTCAAACCTATAAACTGTCACATACAGACCCCCGCGTCAATCATTAAACTCCTCAGATTAGGGGATCTTCAAAAACGCCCTCTTCACAACAAGTTTAAGACAACAACAAAGCAGAAATAATAGAAAAAATATTGGCTACAGTAGACCTGCTGCAAAGGAAACGTTTTAGTTCAGTAGAGTACGTAACAGTTCGTCCCATGACACAGTTGTTTGCCGGAGAACACTCCAAAGATCTCTGCCAGGTTGACCATTAACCCTGCCATTGATTACAGCTCTTTCCCCGGACCTCACCAGCTCTTCATGTTCCACAGATCCACACTCGTGAGTTCATAGCCCTCAGATGCTCCTGGTAACTGTGTCGAGCTGAAGAAGAAGACCCTTACGTTTCCTTCCTTATCATTTTTTAAAGTTGTGCCAACCATGGCGAAGAGTGGATATGGCTACTACCGCGCTACTATATTCCTGGCCATGTTTGTGGGCTACACCCTGTATTACTTTAACCGGAAGACATTTTCCTTCGTGATGCCCTCTGTAATGCAGGAGATCCCGCTGGATAAGGATGATCTGGGTGAGCATGTGCAACTAGTAGCTTGTACTTTGTCTTACCTCTCTGTCATGTGTCCACTCATGTTTATTACCTATTACACACACATGCATTCATTGGAATTACAGTAAACGAGTATGATAAACAATGGGGAGAAGGCACTAAGACAGTGATATTCAGTGCCCAAATCATCTTGAAATAAAAAAAAAAGCTCCCAAAAGGATTATTATTCAGATTTAGCTGGATGTCAACAGAACATAATACACATATTTGAATAAACAGTACACTACCAGTCATTGATAATGTATTTCCTAATAGAGAAAAGATGTTCGAGACTGTCATCTTTTGATGTCATGAACAGACAAATATTATAAAATGACAATATTAAGCAGATGTTATAGATTGCATACAAAAATCTCTTGATTGATATGTTTATTACTTTTTTAATTGTTAATTTTCCTCAACAGTATAGTATACCTTACTATTCAAAAGGTTTTGTTTGTTTTATACTTTTATTCAGAAAGGGTGCATTAAATTGATCAAAAGTGACAGTAAATATACTTTGAAATAAATTCTATTCTCATGAAATTTCTATTCATTAAAGAATTCCAAAAAAAAAAAATGTAGCACTGTTTCCACAAATGTATTAAGCAGCACAACTGTTGATAATAATAAAACAACATTGATAAAAAATAATAAATGTTTCTTGAGCAGCAAATTCTGAATCTGACACTGAAGACTGGAGTAATGATGCTGAAAATTCAGCTTTGCATCATGGGAATAAATTACATTTTAAAATATATTACAATAGAAAACAGTTCTTTTAAATTGTAATAATACTTCACAATATTATTGTTTTCACTGTATAAATGAGCAGAAGAGACTTCTTTCAAAAACATGTAAAAACATTTAATGCTAGTGTTCAGTAAGTTTTCTACGTATCTCCAATATTCTTTTCCACCCTGTTAGTGTGTATGAAATGCAGGTGTAAAAGATTAAACTGACACACTGTGACATTGATTCCCCTGATGTGACATCTTATTTTGAGAAATTCAAATAGAAAAAAACATTTCATGTCAATGCTGTTTTTTAGTTGTGATCTTTTTGGTGTTTTATCAACATATCTTGTTTATTCCCACTCATACACATTCCACCCTGTTACTTAACATTACCCTACTGAAATTTCATCAAAGAAATTAATTAAATATCAGAAAGTATCAGGTAATATATTTACAGATTCACAGATTCACATATCTACGTTCCACCCTGTTAAAAAAAAAAAGCTGTATGATGTCTAACTGTCTAGAAAATGCACCTGAAATGCATGTTTAGTTTCATTTTTTTTTTCTTTAAATGTCAGTCATGATTATACAGTATAAACAGAATATAATAAACTATAATAAAAGTAGCAACATTTACACACAAATTTGGCCTGTTATGTCATATTCCATTATCATTAATTTCATACATGATTGAGCTGAGCCAGTGTTATTTTCTGAACAGCAAATAAATCATGTCATGAGATCGACCACATACAACAATATTAAAATGAGTGAGTCCGCTTTGGTGTGTTGCCCCGGATCTACTTTATCAGCACAGTGATTGAATTGCTCTTATCACTGAATTTACAGTTCATAAGCCAATGAAGAGTGATAACGCATTTGGAATTTCTCTTTTGCCCAATCTTTGCAAACCCATATGTTTTTGAGTGATTCTGAATTGTAATCACTTTCTTCTGAAGTCTAATAATCAGTGTTTATTTCTTTGTGCACTGCAGGTCTTATCACTAGCAGTCAGTCGCTGGCCTATGCCATTAGCAAGTTCATAAGCGGTGTGCTGTCCGATCAGATGAGCGCACGATGGCTTTTCTCTATTGGGCTGTTTATGGTTGGCGGCATCAACGTGGTTTTCTCTCAGTCCTCCTCGGTGGTGGTGTTCTCAGGCCTGTGGTTTCTGAATGGATTGGGTCAAGGTCTAGGATGGCCACCATGTGCAAAAGTACTACGCAAGGTATGGGTCCGTTCCTTCAGTATATGGACTTGCATTGTACATAAAAATACAAATGGCTCTTTATTGGCATCGATGGTTCCATGAAGATCCTTTAAAATCTATGGAACAGATGTTAAAACAGAAAAAAAAAAGATATAGGCAAAACAAAATGAATACCCGTGGCTCCTGACGATACATTGAGGTCTTATAGAGTGAAATAATCTAAATGCGGTCTGTGCAGGAAACTGATCATTATTTATCCCTCAGACGGTCCTCGGTCATTTCTGACCAAAACATTTTCTGTTTTGAATTTCTAAAAATCATACATTCATCGGAATGTTACGAAACTTGGTGACTTTTATGGCATTATGTATGTGAATACAAAAATAAATTGAGGTCATGATCCGAGCATGCTAAGTGGTCGTAAAAAAAATAGTGACGATTTTGGTCTTCGGTCAAAAATGACCGACCCATAGGAAATGAATGGGAAATTGACAAAAACACAAAAATTTAATATTTTTTTAATAAATGTATTCTATGGAGCCCCCCTAGTCCCACTTTGTCAAAAAAAAAAATTATAACTATCTCGTGGCCTCAAGGTAGTAACTCGTGGCCTCAAGATAGAGATACTATCTTGTGGCCTCAAGATAGTATCTCGTGGCCTCAAGATAGTATCTCGTGGCCTCAAGGTAGTAACTCGTGGCCTCAAGGTAGTAACTCGTGGCCTCAAGATAGTATCTCGTGGTCTCAAGGTAGTAACTCGTGGCCTCAAGGTAGTAACTCGTGGCCTCAAGATAGAGATATATCTTGTGACCTCAAGATAGTATCTCGTGGCCTCAAGGTAGTAACTCGTGGCCTCAAGATAGAGATACTATCTTGAGGCCACGAGATACTACCTTGAGGCCACGAGTTACTACCTTGAGGCCACGAGTTACTACCTTGAGGCCACGAGATACTATCTTGAGGCCACAAGATATATCTCTACCTTGAGGCCACGAGTTACTACCTTGAGGCCACGAGTTACTACCTTGAGGCCACGAGATACTATCTTGAGGCCACAAGATATATCTCTATCTTGAGGCCACGAGATACTATCTTGAGGCCACGAGATACTATCTTGAGGCCACGAGATACTATCTCGAGGCCACGAGATACTATCTTGAGGCCACAAGATACTATCTTGAGGCCACGGGATACTATCTTGAGGCCACGAGTTACTTATCTTGAGGCCACGAGTTACTATCTTGAGGCCACGAGATACTATCTTGAGGCCACGAGTTACTTATCTTGAGGCCACGGGTTACTATCTTGAGGCCACGAGTTACTTATCTTGAGGCCACGAGTTACTATCTTGAGGCCACGAGATACTATCTTGAGGCCACGAGTTACTTATCTTGAGGCCACGAGATACTATCTTGAGGCCACGAGTTACTTATCTTGAGGCCACGGGATACTTATCTTGAGGCCACGAGTTACTATCTTGAGGCCACGAGATACTATCTTGAGGCCACGAGTCACTTATCTTGAGGCCACGGGTTACTATCTTGAGGCCACGAGTTACTATCTTGAGGCCACGAGATACTATCTTGAGGCCACGAGTCACTTATCTTGAGGCCACGGGTTACTATCTTGAGGCCACGAGTTACTTATCTTGAGGCCACGAGATACTATCTTGAGGCCACGAGTTACTTATCTTGAGGCCACGGGTTACTATCTTGAGGCCACGAGTTACTTATCTTGAGGCCACGAGATACTATCTTGAGGCCACGAGTTACTTATCTTGAGGCCACGGGTTACTATCTTGAGGCCACGAGTTACTTATCTTGAGGCCACGAGATACTATCTTGAGGCCACAAGTTACTTATCTTGAGGCCACGAGATACTATCTTGAGGCCACGAGTTACTTATCTTGAGGCCACGAGATACTATCTTGAGGCCACGAGTTACTATCTTGAGGCCACGAGATACTATCTTGAGGCCACGAGTCACTTATCTTGAGGCCACGAGTTACTATCTTGAGGCCACGAGATACTATCTTGAGGCCACAAGTTACTTATCTTGAGGCCACGGGTTACTATCTTGAGGCCATGAGTTACTTATCTTGAGGCCACGGGTTACTATCTTGAGGCCACGAGATACTATCTTGAGGCCACGAGTTACTTATCTTGAGGCCACGAGATAGTTATAATAATTTTTTTTGACAAAGTGGGACTAGGGGGGCTCCGTAGTATTCAAATCCACCGGGGAAAAAAAGAAGTAAATGTGTCCATAAACAGCTGGGGAATTCACATGCCTCTCCATAGAGAGCTGTAGATGCCATCTAGTGGTTACACCATGGTCCTACTCTTTCTCTCCATACTCCCACCAGATGGTGCTAATCTGCTTAAAACATTTTTTTTAAGAGGCCTAGACTCTATATTAAACTAAAATACTGCATAAAAAAATAAATAAAAACAAAATCATATATAAATATATATTTTTTTTTTATTAATTTCAATGGCAAAAATAGACCATAAATATTGCATAAATATTAATAAATTCAATCAAATTCTCTCAAAATGCAAAATTAAAAAGAATAAATATTATAGAACAAAAATAAATTCCATTGGTTCTACTGGGATGGAGGAAGTTTCATTTTTAGGTCTCCGGTCACTTCTGACCGGGTAGGCCCAGGATGTGACTCCGAAAGGAAGACCGTCTGAGGGTTTATACAATGGACGTAGGCCAGTAAGCTGAGTATGTAAACCTCATTAGTGGGGTCGGTTATTTTGGTGCCGGGTCGAGTAGGACAGGTTACATTTAAAATTTCGTTACCGGTTATTCACATCCTCGGCAAACGGTTCTGAGCGCGTTCATGACAGTCTGGAGCGCAAGCTTACTGTCGCATAATGACACCTACGTCTTGGTTGGCCTAAAGTAAATGAACAGACAGTTAAAATTTTTGGGTGAACTATCCCTTCAACAAATGGAAACTTTTTGTAAAATATTACCACTTTTGATCAATCTAATGCATCCTTGCTAAAATAAATAAAAATAATTATATATTGTATATATAATTTTTTTAAACTGCAGTATACTTTATATAATACCTACATATTTCAGTTTCAGTACTACATATGAAATGAATTAATTTGTTTCAATAGTGGTTTGAGCCATCTCAGTTTGGGACCTGGTGGGCAGTGCTGTCCTGTAGTATGAATTTGGCTGGTGGTTTGGGGCCCATAATTGCCACAGTGATGGCCCAAAGCTACAGCTGGAGGTCCACGCTGTCCATCTCCGGCCTGACCTGTGTGGTCATGTCCTTCTTTTGTCTGCTCATTATCCGAAATGAGCCCAGTGAAGTCGGCCTGCCTAATATTGAAGCTGGTGCAAAGAAAGGCAAAGGAGGTATGAAGACTTCACAATCCTCATGCATGTGCATTTTATATCGGTAGGAAATAGGTCACATTAAGGAATTAAAGCGAGATGGGAATGCTGCTTCATGTTGTATAAATTTCCCATACTCAGTTGTCTTTGCTATGACTGGTTTTGCTTATATAGGTCATTGCTGTTCTATGACGTTGTGGAAGTCTGCATTAGATCAATGGTTTCACTCACTAGTTCTTTGAAGAATGAACTATGTGACCAAAACAGAGTACAAAGGGGTGTGTTTTACTGTGTCTGTGTGTTAATTCATGTTTTAACACGTCACTCGTGTTGGAAGGTCACTCGTGTTGAACCAATGGACTTTTCTGTCTCTCCTCCAATAACAGTTGTAGATTTGATCCATCTGGGCTCTACCTTTGATTTCAGGTTCCAGCAAAAATGAAAGCACCTTCAAAGAGTTCATCTTTTCTCCGTATCTGTGGGTGTTATCGTTGGGCTATCTGGTGGTGTTTGGGGTGAAGACTGCTTACACTGACTGGGGACAACTTTTCCTCATCCAGGACATGGGCCAGTCAGCACTAATGGGTACTGTGTGTGGTCCAAAGTATTTGGTTTTTAGGCTTCGGTGTAGGCTTCAAATGTGACCTGATGAGGGCCTTAAAGTTGTAGAAGCTTGTTTCCTCAATGGAATAAAAAATATTAAAGGTAATTGTGACTTTTTATCATGCAATTCTGAGTTTATATCGCACATTTGCAAGATGTAAACTCGCAATTCTAAGAAAAAAAGTCTGAATCGCAATCGCAAGAAAAAACTTCTAATTGTGAGGTGAAAAAGTCGCAGTTACCTTTTTTATTTTTTTATTTTGTGGTGGAAACAAAAAACAACAGATTTGCAAGGAGTACACTTTGAATTCCGAGAAAGTAAGAATTGCGAGATGTAAACTCAGAATTATGAGGGAAAACGTTTGAATTGCGAGATGTAAACAGATTTATGAGGGGGAAAAAGTCCGAATTGCGAGATATAAACTCAGAATTATGAGGAAAAACGTTTGAATTGTGAGTTGTAAACAGATTTATAAGGAAAAAAGTAAGAATTGCGAGATATAAACCCAGAATTACGAGGAAAATATGTCCTCTTTAAGAAATAGCCTGCTAAGTGTGCGATGAGACTTTTGGGTTATGGACAAAAGTGTGTATTGGTGCTGATTTTCACAGGCAGTTCCTTTATGAGTGCCCTGGAGATGGGAGGACTGCTGGGTAGTTTAGCCGCAGGATTCCTGTCAGACAGGGCCGTTTCAAAGGTGAGTTTATTCTACCAATATCTATTTAAATGAAATCCAAATACCATGTATGACAATGAGCCATAAAGTACGACCACAATATAATTTCCCCCCCCATGGTTTTTTGATGAATAGAGAGTTCAAAAGAACAGCATTTATTTGAAAATTTACATGTACATATTCACCATAGCAACCATCCAGAACACCCTAGCAACCACCCAAAATACCTTAGAACACCCTCGCAACATACCCTAGTATGGCAAACCCATAGATTAAAAAGTATGTGGCCATACTGTTCTACTTTTGAACAGTAGTGCATCTAAAGTGGTGTATTTTTCTCTTTCTTGTATTTGCAGCATGGATTGCGTCTGTATGGAAACCCTCGCCATGGGCTCTTGCTCTCCATGATGGCTGGGATGTGTGTCTCCATGTACCTCTTCCGCACTACTGTCACAGCACACAGCTCAAATGTAAGTTCAGTATCTTTACACAAAACTGACAGATAATATTGATGACTCATTCTGTACTACAAATATTTTTGTCCAATCAAATGCTTCTAGTAGAGAATGTCCCTCCTCCTAGTACCACCGTCCAATGACTAGCAATTAGCAAATTATGTTGTGACAAATAAACAAAAAATGACAAACCTACCCAAACTGCATTTAACCTAGAAGAAAATTGCATTTATTGGGTCTGTAAATGACTGGTTTATTATGATTTTACACACAGGTCTGGATTCTTTTGTTGGGTGCTGCTTTTGGCTTTTCCTCCTATGGACCGATTGCCTTGTTTGGAGTTCTAGCGAATGAAAGCGCTCCATCGAACTACTGTGGAACCTCTCATGCCATCGTTGCCCTGATGGCAAACGGTGATCATTTTCTCCATTTTATTTCATAGTCCTTTGATGCTGATCCTTTTTCTGCAAAAATGTACACTTATCTGTCAGCTACTTGTAGAATAAAATAAGCAGTAACAACATCAGTGTTAGGACTTTTATTCTGTGTTTTCTAGAGTATGTATTCTATTAGCATTAGGATTGGGAATTGTTTGAATTTTAACGATTCCAAATCTGCTTATTGATTACGATTTTCATAGATTCCTAATTTCGATTCCAATTTTTTTTTTACATTTCAGTGTAGCTGCTGTACAAGGAACTTTTGCCTATGGTTTAAAAATACCATAGCAAAAACAACTAGCCTAACAAATATAAATGTCAAGCATTATTAAAGACAAGTAAACAAAAACAAATCAGCAATCGCACAATTTTAGGCTGCTGTCACTTTAAGAGCTGCACGGATCCAATGTACTGTTACACATGCATTTTTTTGTCAGCTGTTTACGTACACTTAAGACACTGTTTACGAGGATATTTTGACTTAATTTTGTGTGTATTTGTCCGTTCAAGTGCAAAAAAACACGGATGAGCACGCTTTGAATGTGTGCAGCACAGAAAACGGTTCGCAGGTCTTCTTGCGCTTGAATGGTTTAAAGTCATGTTAGAGCAATCGATAAGATGAATCGAAATGTTATATTTTATAACAAGTATCCGATTCCCAACCCAAATTAGCGTTCCAAGACCAAAAGTCGTTACATTTACATAGCCAGTTGCCTATTTCAAAGAATACTAATGTGCTTTTGTGTTTGTTTTGCCCGCAGTTGGCGGTTTCCTGTCAGGGTTGCCATTTGGCACCATTGCTAAACACTATGGCTGGAACACAGCATTCTGGGTAGCAGAAGTAGCCTGTACTGTCACCACAGTCGGATACTTCCTGCTCCGAAATATACGCACAAAGATGGGAAGCCTACCCAAGAAGGATGACTAAACAGAGTATTTAAATGTCTTTTCACTAGTTTTTAAGATACGGTATAAAGGGCACAATGCACAATTGCTGAAAATGTCTAGGATTTAACTTGTGTGTTTATGAAAAATAGATGAATTCAATGTGGATATCTATTCCCAAGATATTACATTATATTTTTACCAATGTACAAAAAAATAGGATACCATCATGTTGTGTCACTTTCAGAAGCACACACATTGTTATTTATTCTGTTCATTTTGAATACGGATAACAGTATTTTACATTGTTCCTTTTACTTGCATTGCAGAACTCACTAATGAATTGTTTAATAAGGCATGTTAAAGCCATTTCTTTAGTGACTGCCATTAAATCGGTTTGAATAACATTTATTTCTTGTACTTATCATCCGTTTCAGAGCTTTAACTGGTCCTACCTCTGGTTCTGTAGTATTACAAAATCATGTAATGTGTATGATGAAATACGTGACCTAACTGTAAGTTATATCACGTGACTGTTCAATGCACAATGAAATGAGTTTATATAAATAAAAGATTTACATATTCATGATATTATTGTTTGACCTTCTTTTAAACTTTTGGACTGAAACAGATCTGAGATACAGTAGACTTTTTTTTATATTCTGTTGACAGAACGCAAATTACAAGTAAATTTCATTTCATTTGGATAGACACCAATAAACATATTTCGATGAAACATATTGAGCTCCTCCATCTTGTTTAGAAGTCCTGCGCAAGATCACATTACAAACTTAAACTGTCCATGTACATTATTTACAAAGGTTATGTCTCACTGTAAATGTGCGACTTAATTACAAAAAAGAACATAAAAGAGACAGTTACAGTGGTCTTAAACTGAGTTAAATCGTTTAAGATTGAGAAAAAAGCCTGGAAAGGATGGAAATCCTTATGCCAGCAACCCAAACATTTCTGTGGACAGGTTTGACAGCAGAACTTCTGGAGATCCTGTCAGGTGGATGAACACACTCAATGCAAGTCCAGTTCAGGATCCGGGTCCAAATGTCCCAGCTTTCTCTGCTATTTCCAGAGACATCTTTAGGTTTTGGTCAAAAAGCTCACATCTGAAAGAAATCATGCATTTTTTTTTGTTATACACAACCTTGTTGCATCAAATAATAGCATCAAATTGAACTGCCTGCAAAGCTCATAAAATCCATAATGTTTGTAATAATAAAAAAACACCTGATAGGCATCTCTAAAGAGTAGAAAGGATTCTTCAGTGCAAAGTCTGAGTAGATTTCATAAATCTTTCTTAGGAGGGCATCGATGCCAGACTGCCGAGGGTCTGCCAATACAATGAACTTTATACCTGCAAAAACACACAAAAAAGTTCTGTCAGTATCACTGGTTTTGTTTGCCACCAAATGAACACATCCTTCTATGGCTTAAAGGGATACTTCGGGATTTAGCATTAAGCTTTGTATTAGTAGATAACCTGTAGTATTTTTCGAATTACCATGCTTTCCACCCTCATATCCCCCTGAGACGAGAGATTTATGTATTTTTTGTCTGGAAAAACTCCAATCCGATGACGCAAAATCGTCATTTTGGGTCATCGGAGGATTTTCTGGCCAGAGGCTAAAGACTACAGTCAGTAGTAGGGGCTGTCCCGCATGTTCTCAACCCGCCCATAGAGGGTGGGATCTCACTCACAGAATGTACACATACTAGTGTCAGCCATCTTTTTTTGGAACCTAAGCTAGCAGGCTCTTGTTCTGTGGAGAAAGCTGAGTAGTAGGGGTTACCATCCTCTTTTTCCCGGACATGTCCGGCCGTCAATGTCCGGGATTCAGCTCTTGCTTTCTGCAGTCGCCATCCCGCAAAAGCCGAATCCCGGACATTTTGGGCGATCTCGAAACACATTTTCGGACAGACTCATCACGGAGACTCACTAGTAGCCTAGACTTGTTGTTTAACTACTGCGCTCTGTTACCGGTAGGCGTGGCCTCCTAGGGCAGCGAAGCAAGTGCATTCTGGGAGTTGTTGTCTTTCATCCACATAAGCCAAAAATACATTTTCTGGCTTTTCTCAGTCTAGAAAGCTCCAATTTCAAAAATAATTTCACATTTCTTCTACATAAAATGACCCATTTTAAATACACATTCATCTTTCCAGAGGTGAAGTATCCCTTTAAAGGTGCAGTAAGCGATTTCTGAGAAACGTTGGTTTTGCTGTTTCACAGATCAAAGATATGCTGTTGTTGTAATGTTAGCTGTAGTAACAGTACAGTTTTGAGGGTCATTAGCTGCGTTTACATGGTTCAATCGGAATGAAATCAATCCGATTGATGAATCCGAACATGGTGTTTACATGAACGATAAATAAAGTAATCGGGTTGATGTGCGCGTTTATATGTCACAAGATTCAAATCGGAATTGATTTTTTGACATGCGGACACTGCACGAATATGCCGCTGTTCGCGCATAACTATTCTCCTCTATTGGTTCTTTATTTAAACAGCAGACTTAATATTTATTCGTCTCTGTCATGATTTGGAGACGATGCATGAACCGGTTTGCCGCGCTGCTTATATTGATCACGCAGTAAAACCCCGCGCCCAAAACCAGTTGTCCGTCCATGGATGAGAGTCTGAAACAAGCACTGGTGGGACGTTGTCCTGCTCCACTTCACAGACGCTGAGTGAAATGAGATTTTTTTAATAACGGAACCTCAGTTATATTCACTTTATTCAACAGGAAGAACAGCTCGTTCCGTGCGTCATACGTCATTACGCTATTTCAACGTCATTGCACATGCGCAGTCCTTTTAGTTTCGGTTTTCAATCCGATCAAGTGTTTACATGTTCTCTCGATCGTATTACAAAAGGAGTAAACCACCCCTTTCAATCGGATCGAGCTCAATCGGATCGATTAAGGTGTTTACATGAAGGTTTTTTAGTCCGATTGAGGCGTCAATCCGATTATAAGTGTCCATGTAAACGCAGCTATTGTTTGTCTGGAGCTGCTGACGACTAACAACCAACTCTTGCTTATACTCTTGTGTGCTGTATGTTCATTTTTTTGTCCTTCCTTGTCATTCGTTCATCATTTTCGCGAAGCATTATTTTGCTTTCCTTCAGCTATGATAAAGAAACATCCATTCTTGCATTGGGTGTTCTTGCATTTTGGGGGCGGAGCAATGAAGGGAGGGGTGTGTTTGTTTGGGTTGATTTCAAATATCAACAGTGTTTCTCAGAAATCGCTTACTGCACCTTTCATATCATTTTGTCATTTCAACAAGAGAAAACATAGACCTGTGAGTGTTTGAAAGCAGTGCAGTTTAAACATATCCGTCTCCAGCATTTCAATACCAGAGCTGCCAACTTCAGGCGACAACTGTGATCCAATGGCAAACAGCCTTAGAAAAGACAGGAAAACACACATCGAATAAAAACAAGTCAGTTTCAAAATGCATAACAGCATTTTGATGAAAAATGTATGGTTGCTATGCTTCTGATTATGTTTTATCTAGCCTATATAATGTTCACAAATTTAAAGTCAGTAAGTTTCTTCTTTAATTTTAAACTTCTATTTTAAAATAAATGCTGTTCTTTGGAACTTTAAAATCATTAAATAATAATGTATCAGTTCCCACAAAAATATTAAGCAGCACAACTCTTTTCAACATTGATAATAATAATAAATATTTCTGATATTATGTGCATGCCTTTTGTGTTTCAATGAAGAAAGTAAGCCATACAGGTTTGAAAGAACATTACAATAAAGTAGTGAAATATCTATTTAAGGAAATCTACTCACGAGTGAAACATTGAAGCCAGCATGAGTTTCTCATTGGATGAGAGTCTCTGTCGGCCGAATTTGATGGACACCGGATAGTTGGCAGGATCTTTCAGATATTCCTGTATCTCCTTCCCTTCAGCCGTGTACTTGCCATTCACATCCACTCCGTTAATGGAAAGAAGCGCGTGACCGACTGCACAAAAGAAAACAATTCATATAATTCACAAGAAACGAAGGGTTAACTTACCTACAAATATGTATTAATACATGGGATGGTTTGCAGGCACATAAACACGCACCTCTGATCCCGTCCCGCTGTCCGAATGACACAATTACCTTCTCATCATGAATCTTTAAAACTAAATCAAGAGGAAAGCTGAACGTTTTTTCGACTTCAGTTCGAGGTACATAATTATCGTATTGGTAGATGAGTCCACCAGCCTTATTGACAACATATACACTGAAGATCGCCATTTTCTTCCTGTCAAAGGGGCAGTCATGTGACTTTGTGGCGTGAGGAAATAAAGTAGAAAAATAAAAAATAGTAAACAGGCAGACAATGCAAGACCGCATACACAAATTATAATTTAAATATAACAATAGTATTATCATGCAGCATTTTTTTGTAAAGGGTTGAATTAATGTGTTTATAGTTTGATTTTGGAAACTACATTTCCCATAAAGCCATGCCCACCGAACGCTCTGATTGGCCAAGGCTTATATTTTATTTCCAGTATCATTCCTATTACGGCGTAAATTATTATCCAAATGCTACTGAAGAAGATTAAAGAGAAAGCACGGTCACATGGTACCTGTTACTTTCCTCCGCGCTTTCAGGACGGACTAATCACGGTTGTTTCTGATGAGTCCTATTAAAGATTTAATTTAAAATATATATGTTGTGCCTATTTAAATTTTGTATTCAGTTACCAATCTTTAATTCATTATTTTTTAACGTTTTAATGTGCACAAAATCTGCATGCAAAATCTGTTTGCCTTATCATTGCCCACTTCTGCCTCCACCCTGAATACAGAAAGAGCTACAGGATGTGCATGATCCAGCGTAAGCTTTGACAGCGCTACAGTTTCTCATTCTGCCCATAAAATACCCTATTTTATCCATTCAGGATTCTTAATACTTTTATTCAGTGTAGGTTAAATTGATTTTAATTAATTAAAATATTTAAATTGATCAACATTGACAATAAAAAACTTTTAGAATGTAACACAAGTTTTCTATTTAAAATAAATGCTGTTCTTTTGAACGTTATATACATCATCCTGACAAAAAGTAGCATTTTCACAAAATGTTTGGATTCCACAAAAATACAGCAGTCCTGTCATGATTCTGCCCTCTTGTCTTTCTCTACTCATGGGGCAGGATCATGACAGACCTATGTTATGTGTGCAGGCACATGGCCTTGTGTTTGGGCTGTGTGCTTGCGCTGTCTCGTTCTCTTGCCCCGCCCCCTTGTTATCCTCCTTTTGTCATTATTGCTTCATCTGTGTCACCTGCTGTCAATGTCTGTGTCTCCCTATTTAATCCCCTTGTGTTTACTGTCCTGGGCTGGTTCATTGTGAGATACTACTACCTGTGAGTATGCTGTCTTAGTAAATAGTCTTGTATAGTTTTTGATCTTGTATTTGCTGTCTGTTAAGTAAGTCTAGTCTTTGTCAAGTTTAGTCATCCCTCGTTTGTCTTGCCTTTGTTTTGCCCCCTCGTGGGTTTTGCTTTCCCCTGTTTTCTGTTATTAATAAACGTTGTGTGATTGCATACCGTCTGCACTTG